TTATATTTATAAATTAATTTAGGGAGAATTGACATTTTTAGGATGTTAAATCTCCTCATCTGAAAACATGGTATGTCCTTTTATTTGTCAATTCCTCTTTTATGTACTTGGGAGGTATTTTTTAGAGAGAGAGGAAGGGAGAGGGAGAAAAGAATCAACGTGAGGGAGAAACATCGATGGGCTGCCTCCTGCGCCCGACCGGGACATCGCAGTCCGTGGACTACAGTCATTTCCCTGGGCCACACTGGTGGGGCAGGACGTGGTGTTTGTTTTTAGTCTAAAACCCATGTGAGAAAAAGCATTCTTTGTTTTAATTTATACTTAAGTATATCTTTTTTGCTATTGTTAATGGGGTGTGTGCTTTCATTATTATAAACTAACCAGAATTTATTTGTATATATAAAAGCTTACTTTCATATGTTGATTTTAGAACCTGCAATTTGACTAAATTCTCTTATTTGTTGGCGGTGACTTTTTCATTGGCAGTAGAAATAGTTTTATCTTTTGCTTTCTCATTCTTAGGCTTGTAACTGTTTTTGTTCTTGTCTGGTCGTGCTGGCCAGTACTTCCAGCCTCATGCTAAATAGTAATGGAGACGGCAGGCCTCTTTGTGCTGTTCCTCACTTCAGTGAGCAGCCTCTTGTTTCTTCTTTCAGATTCTGGCTTTTTACCATATTAAGAAATTATCTACCAATATCTCTTTTATTGTACTTAATTCTTGTTAACTACTGTCCATTCTTTTAACTGCTATTAAAAGGAATAGTAGCCCTGGCCAGTTTGGCTCAGTGGTTAGAGCGTTGGCCTGCGGTCCGGAGAGACCCGGGATCGGTTCCCGCTAAGGGCATGTACTTCGGTTGCAGTTTGTCCCCGGCCCTGGTTGGTCGTGTGGGTGGCAGCCACTCGATGTGTCCCTTCACGTCGATGTTTCTCACTCTCTCTCCCTTCCTCTCTCTCCCTCCCACTCTATCTGTACAAAAAATGGAAAAATGTCCTCGGGTGAGGATAAAAAAAAAATAAATAAATAAATAAATAAATAAAAGGAATAGTATAATAGTCCATGGCTTAATATACCTTTACTTACTTAACAAGGACAGCGACTGGTTATGAATGAGCATGGGTTCTGGAGTCAGGCTTGTGGGGATTCTATCAGATCCTGGCTTCCATCACTTCTTACCTGTCTGACCCGCAACAAAAATTTATCACATCTGGGCCTTAGCCTCCCTCATCTTTAAAAATGACACAGCATCGTTAGGAGGATTAAACACATTAGTCAGATTTCTAAGGAATACCTGAGACAAAGTAAATGGTTCATAAATGGTAGCTCTTAATCCCTTCTCCCAGTTTTTGTCATTTCAGAGAGTACTATGACAATAATTTTGATCATACATCATGTGCAGTTGTACAAGTGTGTCTTTATCAAAAGCATCTGCGTGTGGAATTGCTGGAGAAGAAGAATAGTAAATAATCTTACTGCCCTCCAGAAACTGTGGGCCTGTCGTTTGCACCAGCGTTTGAGGAAAGCCAGTGTTCCCTCAGCTCTTGCCCATACTGTATCGTCTGTCTTCTTGATTATCATATGATAAGAAGAAAATTCATTGGTTAAATTGGCATTTCTTTAATCATAGAGAATATTTTTGTAAGCTCTTTGATGTCCTTTGTTTATTTTGGTCTATTTAAAAATTGAACTCTAAATGCATTTAGTAACTTTTTAGAAGGAGAGACAACATTGGATGACACACAAGGTTTTTTTTTAGATATTTTTTTTATTGATTTTTTTAGAGAGAGGAAGAGATAGAAACGTCAATGGGCTGGCCCCAGCACGCCCCCTGCTGGGGATTGAACTCAAAACCTGGGCAGGTGCCCAGACCGGGACCTCTCAGTCCGTGGGCCAATGCTCAGTCCACGGGCCAATGATCAGTCCACTGAGCCACACCAGCTGGACCACATACGACCTTGACAGTTGTGGGCAGAGAATGGCTTTTGATTCTAGTGAGTAGCAAGATGTGCTGCAGATATTGTTGGGGTGTGGCCCTTACCAGTCATTTAATCTTCATGGACCTGTTTTGTCTTTTGAAAATGAGGGGTTACTCTAAATTCTCCATTTTCTCTCATGTTTAGGGACTCTGTTTTTTCATATTTTGTCCCTCACACCAGGCACAGCGACAGCACGTTCAGTAAATGCCGGTCAAATTAAACTGCTCTTGTGCTACCTGAGGTTCTCCAGCAGGACAGAGGGCTGCGGTGGCAGCGCACAGGGGTCCCCACGGCAGCAGGGCCTGTCCGTAGGGATGCAGGACGTTGTGAGGTAGGCCTAGCTTTGTCTGAAAGGGGCACGTTCCGGCAGGCAGTGTCTGCAGTGCTGAGGGTGTCCAGCAGCGGGCTGATCACAGGCCGTTGCCTGGACAGCTGGTGTGGAGGAAGGGCAGGCTCCGGTGTGTAGTTGTACGTCCACAGGGACTCGTAGTTTGGCTGTAGCTCTTTGATCCAAGATGGTGGGGGTTGGATGTGAAAACACAACAAGGCAACATCTTGTATCCCAGAGGGACTGGGAAATCAGAGTGATTATTGTTACAAAGTTTGGGTCGAGACACCTGCTTTGAAATGAGCCTGGAAACTCCTGGGAAGGGGAGTAAGACACTGTTTCCTGGGTGGTTTAGGACTCGGCCTCAGTGAGCAAATCCCGGCTGCAGAGCTCGTGGGGTGTTTGGGGTGGACACGGAGGTCGTGTGCTAAGATACGAAAGCTGCTTAAACATCTCTCATTTTTGAAATTCAAGTTGATCTGAGATGCATGGGGCAGGGGTGAATGGACGGGCTCCGCTGGTCAGACAGGAGACAGAAGGGAAGCAGGGATGGTGCTCTGTCCAGCTCTCGGCCAGTACGTGATCATGGTCACCCGCGCCTGCGAGCAGCTGGGCTGAGGAAAAGCCTTGAATGTGCGTGCGACTGCCGACCTAAGATGTTTAACCCTGTCAGTTGTTGACCCTTTGAGAACCCTCGCAGTGCACCGTGACAGTAAACGGAAACGGTCTGAAATGTGACAGCAAACATTAACAGGACATACAGAACATTAGATTTAGAACACAGGCCTGTGATTCCTAGCACTAGAGAATTCTGGAATCGATTCCATTTCCGTGGTCACACACACGGGGAGTTTCCAGTAAACTCTTCTAATTCCGGGTTGGCTCGGGCCTCTGCCTTGTTCTTTGAGCTTAACTTCCTTTCACCTGGCCGTTCCGTTCGTTTCTAAGCAACCCTGGGACTTGTCTCATAGGGTCGTGTTCGTTTATCTCAGGTAGGCCGTGAGCACCTTAGGAAGGACTAACATAGAAGAAGAAGAAACGGGATAGCGGAGAATGTTTGCTGTGCTGAGATGTTGAGATGCCACGATGGGTTGCACTGAGGATGCGCAGTAGTCTGGTTTCTAAACCTGACGCTGTTGATCTCTAGCAGCTGGTGGGGGTGGCCGGCAGGTGTGCCAGGGTTAGCACCTCGTGGACAAGCCCTTCTCCTTCAAAGTGGCACTTCTGTCACACATCAGCCCTGGCTCGGGGTCCAGAGGGCGCATGCCAAGAACAGGACATACTTTGAAGAGCTGACTTCATGCGAAACAGATGGTGTCAAGCAGGGCGGCTCGGGCCTGCTCTCCCTTCACACTGCTGGTACGTTAGCACCTCGTCATCTCATGGGAATGTACAAACAGTGCATGTGATTCCTTTGTCTTCCCCTATTCTGTTGGAAAGTGATGATTGAAGTAAAAAGCTATTTTTATTCTAGCAATCTTAGCAGTTTGGGGAGAAAATTTAAATTAGTGGGGGGAAATTCCTGGTATTACCTCTTCTTTTGTTTGTTTTTGTTTCTGGTGAAGCTTGATAGAGTTCCTTGGATGTAAGTGTAATAAATAATAGCATAAACACTTAAAAATCACTTTGGAATAGAAATAATTTGCTTTCAGGTTCTTTTTCTTAAGTACTACGGTGTCCTAAGCATCTCTACATGGGGGAAAGAGTCAACCTATTTTTACTTTCTTTTATAAAATTGAGAATTTTTGTTTTGCATTTAATCCTTGAGTTACGAAGTACCTGGTTTTGCTACCTAAAAAAGTCACCCCGCGGTGGGTGACCAGGTGTTGCTGCACCACGTCAGCGAGTAGCCCGGGAGTGCGGTGGGGAAGTCGCTCATGTTGCTCAGCATGTAGGCCCTTCCCTAGCCTGAGGATATTGTCTAGTGCAGATCTCGCTGCTGTGCAGAAGTTGCCCACGCTGCACAAATAGTGTGCCTACTCTCGTCACAGTTTCATTTTTATAATGGTAATGCGACAGTACCTGAGGGTAGTAAGGCATGCCGCGTGCTCCCCTCCCCCGGCATCATGCATAGTTTCTAGGGTTGTGGTGGTGTTCTCTCGGTTTAGCAGTGGAGGGGATGGAGAATAAGGACGTAGTCTGATGAATTCCTTTGCCAGCCCTCCACTCCCCACCGCACAGACCGTGGAGTGCAGCAGCTGTGCCTCCGCGTCTGGTGCAACACGTTCACGGAAGCATACGGGGAGGAGGGAAATGTTTCGTCATTGATGCCCAGGGTTTTCCCATAGGAACTGGGGAACAGCAGTTTGCTTGGGGTTGGGGTTTGTGGTTGGCATACTACCCCAGGTACTGCCATTATTTTAATGCCGATTTTGCATGTAAAATATGCATATTTTGCCCAAGTTATTAAATTCGGTGAATGACATGTTTCCAGGATGGGCACAGTAAGTACTGATTGGCCGATTTCCCCTACCCACTCTAAAAGTTTTTTAATTATTTTGACAACTTACTTTGGCAAATATGTGAAATAGTCTTAAAGATGGAAAAATCATTCCTTAAGTTATTGAAAATGAGGTGTGTTTAATGGATTGAATTGTAATGTCTAAATGCTTTTCAAAAAATACTTCTTTGGTTTTAATTAGCATCATAATTTGATAACTCTTAATATTTCTCATTTATACATTCTTGTTTCTTCCAGGGGCCACATTGTCTTAGTTCCAGAATTCAGCCTTCCTCTGGAATACTACCTGATTCCCTTCCTCATCATAGTGGGCATCTGTCTCATCTTGATAGTCATTTTCATGGTAGGTAAATTAAGTTTAACTACTTTAAAATAGCATAGATGGCTCTAAAACCATTGTACTGAGTAGGAGAAGCCTTACATTAAAAAGTACATATTGTATGAATCCATTTACGTAACTGGTTCTGGAAAAGGAAAGATAATCTGGTTGGAAAAAAATCAGACCAGTGGTTGCTTCTGCGGGACTTGGGAGAGTGGAGGGATTCGCTGGGACGGGCATGGGGGGCTTCCCGGGTGTGAGGCATGTTCTGAATCTGGAAAAGGGTTGGGTTTCCCTGATGCCCGATTCACCAAATTGTACACTTAAATTTGTGCATTTCATTGTACGTAAATTTTACCTAAAAAGAAAAGAGAAAAAAGGTAAATTCTAAGTAATGATATATATGCTGAAGTATTTAATTGTAGAATCTAAGTAGTGGCTATATATGTATTTGTTATAAAAATTCTTTCAACTCTTCTCTGTGTTTGAAAATGTTCATATTAAAATGTAAATAATAAAACAGTATGAGAGCTTGAGGTTAAGGGGAATGACACATTGTTTCTTCAAAACAGTGATTACGAGTATAGCTCCAGAACTCTTAGTGGCTCTGCAGGGTCACAGTCATTTTCATAATAATACTAAGACACTTTTGCCTTCGTCTCTGTCAGTCTCGGGGTTTATAATGGAGGTTTCTGAGGGTGCATGGTATATGGTATGAAAACAAATTGAAGGCAAAGCAGATATGAGAATCCTGTATTCTGTTAAGATAGGCATTTGCAAAAGAGTAAGACAACCCCACTGTTTTAACTTCTATTTTTTATTTTTTTTATCCTCACCCGAGGACATTTTTTTTGATATTTGGTTCAGCTAGAGTGAGAGGGAGAGAGAGAGAGAGAAACATCGATGTGAAAGCAACACATCGAGTGGTTGCCACCCACACGACCCAACCAGGGCCGGGGGCAAACTGCAACCAAGGTACATGCCCTTAGCGGGAACCGAACCCGGGTCTCTCCGGACCGCAGGCCGACGCTCTAACCGCTGAGCCAAACCGGCCAGGGCTAACTTCTATTTTTTAAATAAAGAATATTTATATCAACATCTAATGAGTTTATTATTATATTGAGTTTATAGATTAATTTAAAAATTAAATGGCATCTTTGAAATGTTTGGTCTTCCTGTGCTGCTATGGTATGTCTTCATTTATTTATATTGTTCATAGTTTTTTAATAATTTTTTTCTGTAAATATTTTGCATATCTTTTGTTAGACTTTTTGGAAATTGCATTTTCTAATTGGTTATTACTAGTCTATAAGAACATTATTGATTTTTTATAATAAACTTTTAATTTTGGAATCACATTAAGATTTACAGAAATATTGCAAAGAAGAGAGTTCCAGTACATTTCTCATCTCGTTTCCCCTGTTAACACTTTATATTGTCATGGTACGTCTGTTAAAACTAAGGGCTGACGTTTGGTACATTACCGGCACCTAAACCCAGACCTTGTATGGATTTCACCAGCTTTTCCATCAATGCACCCAATCCAGGGCACCTCATTGTGTTTAGTCATCACCTCCTCCCAGTCTCTGGTCTGTGACAGTGTCTCAGTCTCTCTACTTCCCGTGACCTTGGCCAGGTGTCCTGTAGAATGCCTCTCAGTCTGATGCTTTTCTCCCAGAGGTGAGATTCCCTTTTCCTGGTGTCATGTCAGGGGACACGAGATCTCTGCGTAATGTCACTGAGATGCTAGTGTTCCTCCCTCGGTCAAGGTGGGCGTTGCCAGGTTTCCACTGTGCAGTTATCATTTTCCCCTTTGCTGTTCTGTTCTTCCTTTGGGAACGAGGCACTAAGTATCGCCCACCCTGAAGGTGGAGAGAGAGGGGCAGGAGGTAGGCTTCATTTCCTGGAGGAGTATCTGCATACATTACCTAGAATTCTTTTGTAAGGAAGATCTGTCTCTTGGTCATTCATTCATTCATTCATTCATTCATTCATTGACAGTAATAAGTACTCATGTATATTTATTTTACACTTTGGGTAAAATACAACATTATTTATTTATGTTTAAATTATTTGCACTTTGGCCATTGGGAGCTGTGTTAGGCTTATTTCTGTGTCCCTTTGATTTTTTAAGTATCTTTCCTGTCTGGTATTATAAGAAGCTTCAGGCTCATCTTACATTTTTCTTGTCCCAGCCCTAGAATCAGACATTTCTCCAAGGACTCCTATTTCTCTTATTAAAGAGTTTTATTTAGAAACCATGATTTGGACAGTGGCCACTATTAATTTGTATATAATAATTTTGTATCTATAAACTTGCTGAATTATCCTATTTTGATCATCTGAATTTGTTGATTCTCCTGGGTTTTCAGTGTAGAAAGAAATATATAAAGTTAGAAGGTGTCTAGGGGGTGGGGGGAAGGAGAAACATATGTAACAAAAATAAATCAACAAATATATTATTTTAAAAAAATAAATAAATAAATAAAACCAGCCCAGCTGGTGTGGCTCAGTGGTTGATCATCGACCCTGCACCAAGACATTGCCCATTTGATTCCTGGTGAGGGCACAGGCCCAGGTTGTGGGCCCCATCCCCAGTGGGAGGCATGCAGGAGGCGGCCAGTTGATGTTTTCTCTCATCGATGTTTCTATCTCTCTCCTTCTCCCTTCCTCTCTCTCTAAAATCAATAAAGGAAAAAAAAAATTTTTAATAAATAAATAAAACCAAAATAACAAAAAGAAGAAGAAATGTAGAAAGTTAGAACAACAAACAAATAAAAAATACTCTTGGCAAACCGGGAATAGAAGTAAACCCCTTAAACTAATACAGACTGTTGACTAAAAACTTTAAATGAACATCATTTATCATTTGGTAAATTATTAGAAGCCTTCCTTTGAAAGTCAGGAAAAAAGGCTGCCTATTGTTGTACTCTATTAGGACTGCATTATAGTTTCTGGTAAAACATGAAAGAAAAAGGCAGTATAAGGATTAGAAATAAAATAAACTAAATTTTTGTTTGCTTCTCAGAAAAATAATGAACGGGTCCTGAAGTATGTCTTCTATCTGTTGTAATGATCATTGATTTTCTCTCTTTATTAAGTTGGATTACATTAATTTGTTTTATAAATTTTAAAAATTCTTGTATCTTTGGGGTAACTTTGATTATGATGTGTTCATTTTGTCTTTGCATTTTGGATTATTCAGATTTCTAATAAAGGTCCATAAGTTTTAGATTTGTCCATAGATGTAAAAATCCTAAGTAAAATATTAGCCATCTGATGTCTAGGTTTTAGTTTTATGGAGCTAGAATACTCTTGACATCAGAACTAGACAGTCTCTTCAGTACTGTTGGTAGGAATGTTAAATGGAGCAGCCACTGTGGTAATTCTTCAAAAATTTAAACATAAATTACCGTATAATCTGGTGATTCTACTTCTGGGAATCAAAAGGGGATTATATACCCACAAGAGTCAAAAGTAGGGGGTTGAAACTATGTTCATAGCAGCACTGTTTGTAGTAGGCAATCCAGTTGTTCATCAGTGGATGAAAAACAAAATGTGGTATATACATACAGTGGAATATTATTCAGCCTTAAAAAGGAAGGAAGTTCTGACACATGCTACAACATGTGTGAACCTAGAGGACATTGTGCTGAGTGAATAAGCCAGTCACAAAAGGCCAAATATTGTATGATTCCATTTTATGTGGTACCTGGAGTAGTCAGAGAAAGTACAATGGTAGTTGCTGGGGCTGTAGGAAGGGGAGAATGGGGAATTGTTGTTTAATGGGTACAGAGTTTCAGTTTTTCAAGATGAAAATAATTTTATGGATGGGTAGTGGTGATGGTAGCACAATAATTTGAGTATACAAATGCCGCAGAAAAATGGGTAAGACAGTAAATTTTATGTATATTTTACTATGTTGTAAATAGCATAAAAATAACTATACACAAAACTAGCACCACAAAAAATGAAGCTTTCTCTTATTTTCCATTTTCTAAAATAATTTTTTTCTAAAATTGGAATTATCTGTTACTTGGCTTTTTGATGAAGGTTGCCTATAAAATCATCTAAAGTCTTCCGACTTTTTTCATAGTTACCTGGACATTCAGATGGTTGTCTGTTTCTTCATACTAAATTATATTTCTAGGAAATTATATAGTCTGTTATCAAATACAGTGGCAAAAGATTTATAATATTTTTATACTCATATAACAACTTACAGAGAATTTCTACTGTGTGTGGAATGAGATCTCTTCATATCCACCTGTGCCTTGCACATTATTGTTAGTGTATCTGTTTTGCCTTTCAGATCAGTAGACTTTGATGTGTTGTTTTCCCCTTTCATTCAACAAATATTTACTTTGCACCTAGGATGAACAGTCACTACTCTAGGGTCTGAGGATCCATCATTGAACAAAATAGTTTAAAATCCCTGATGTTAAGCAACTTTGATTTTAGTGTAACTTGTATTCTAACGTCCTTTCATTTTTCATTTATCTCATGAATGTCTGCTCTTAGCATCATTCATTATTTGGTTTCTTCTGTTTTGTTTGGATATATTGCTTTTCTTTTTCTAGCTTGTTCAGCGGAATGCTTATTAAAATTTTTTTCTTGTTAGTATATGCATTTAGGTTATACATTTCTCTTTAACTTTAGCTGTAACATAAATTTTGATAAGGAATATTTTTATTGGTTTGTTTAAATTTTTTGATTGTTTTATGTCTGTTTCTTTACAACTCTTTGCTTCTCCATCCGTGTGAGGGGGACTCAGTCACTGTGACTCCCGGCCCTCCTCGACTCGCACTCAGTCGGTCTTAGGAAAGATCAGGTGTCTTACCTGTGTGGTGCCGGTGGGAAGAGGACATGAGGGTTAGAGGCATGCTTGCCTGACTCCACCTCTCTCTCGGACCAGCCGTCTTCAGCTCCTCCAGACTGGTTCTGCAGTTCTGGGGGCGGGGAGGGGAAGGCCCACACCGTTCCCGTTGTCTTAGTCCTGTCTCCGTGGGTAAGGCAGACTGTTT